TAGTTTAAAAAGGAGGCCTGGTCGAGGACCGGGCCGCGGAGACGCTAAGCCCCGAAATCATCTCAAGATGGCCCTCGTCCTTCCTATAACTACTTACAAAACAACAGAAGGATGAGCTGCATTTTCAGCATGGGGGGAAAAAAATCATAAAATCCTCCGTATATTGCATTTTTGAGAGAGAGAGAGAGAGAGAGAGAAAGAGTAATAATATCTTATCACTACCAACTCAGTCCGGTCACTCTGTCCGGAGTATAATGCTGTAAATATCGCTTAAAGAGACCAAGAAGCCCGACATACTGACAAAAAGAATCCTTATTTGTGAGAAACGCGAAATTTACTATAGAAGATGACCGCGTCTATGGGAAGGTTGAGTCGGAGGAGAGCAGCAGACGGAGAATAGGGAAGGAAAGTATATAGGGAGAGAGAGAGAGAGGGAGAGGGAGTGGAGAGAGAGAGAGAAAGAGAGAGGGAGAAAGATGGAGAGGGAAGGTAAGGTAGAAGCACACCATCAATATTTCATTAATAACTTATCTCCAGAAGAATGTGGTCCCCGGGAGGGGGGCGCCGTGCCCCGGCGAGGCGGACCATCAACTCTACATTATTACCCAGCTGGCAACCCTCCCTCGAATAGTTGCCGACTCCTTTCTTTCCCTCACTAAGATAATCGCTGAAGTGTACGCAGGTTTACAGGGATGTCTGTATACCCCAAGAAGTGTATACTCTGCTAAATGGCGTGTATATATATATACACACCCCAGAAGTGACTCGAACCCATACTGCCAGGAGCACTCCACAACTGATGTACAGGACCCCTTAACCATTCGACCATCACGACCGAACAAAAGATGATGGTAGCCGAGGCTAATTCTCCATCATCCCGCCGGCACTCTAATGGTAATCTTGGGCATGGTATTTTATCAAATCACCTCATTCTTTAGGGCACACGTGAGGAACACAAATGTAACACCCTTCTTGAGCCCAGATGGGCACATGTATAAGCAAGTAGATGGGGTCGCCATGGGTTCTCCCCTAGGTGTCCTGTTTGCGAACTTCTACATGGGCACCATAGAGCAGAGGGTCTTAGTTGACATGGACTTGAAACCCGCCATATTCTGCAGGTATGTTGACGACATTTTTACAAAGGTACCTGATGCCAGATGTCTGCAGAGGCTGAAGGAGGCATTTGAGCGGAATTCTGTGTTGAGTTTCACTTACGAGATGGAGAATAATGGGAAGCTGCCCTTTCTGGATGTAACAGTCACGGAAAGGAGCGGAGGCTTCCACACTGCAGTTTACACCAATTAAACAAACATAGGAATGTGCCTCAATGACAATAGTGACTGCCCAGACAGGTTACATCTGGGTAATGTACAGTATGTACGGGCCTAAAGTATACTGGCTGGTTGGTCAGTAAGCTGTTGTGTTAGTCTTAGTCATCCTACAGCCGCTGATAGACCTAAATAATCCTCCCGCGGTTGATAGACCTAAATAATCCTCCCGCGGCTGATAAGCTTTTGAAGCCACTCACCGAATCGAACTTCCAGCGTAATCTCATTCAGATCAGTTCGAGACGCTTGTACTCGTCCCGGGGGGTAAATATAGACACTGTAAACATCACACAAGCAGCGAAGGGGATGACCTTCACAAATCAATCAGGTTGATACAAACGGTCAAATTAATTTATGGATCTTGACCACACCAGACAAGCACACCGTCCTCACCTCAGTCATCACATACCTCGACCTGACCCTCATCACACACACACAACGCGTAAGAAACATGAAATATTACAGAGGGCCCCTCGCAGCAGCGTAGGGTACAGAGGGCCCCTCGCAGCAGCGTAGGGTACAGAGGGCCCCTCACAGCAGCGTAGGGTACAGAGGGCCCCCTCGCAGCAGCGTAGGGTACAGAGGGCCCCTCGCAGCAGCGTAGGGTACAGAGGGCCCCTCGCAGCAGCGTAGGGTACAGAGGGCCCCTCGCAGCAGCGTAGGGTACAGAGGGCCCCTCGCAGCAGCGTAGGGTACAGAGGGCCCCTCGCAGCACCGTAGGGTACAGAGGGCCCCTCGCAGCACCGTAGGGTACAGAGGGCCCCTCGCAGCAGCGTAGGGTACAGAGGGCCCCTCGCAGCAGCGTAGGGTACAGAGGGCCCCTCGCAGCAGCGTAGGGTACAGAGGGCCCCTCGCAGCAGCGTAGGGTACAGAGGGCCCCTCGCAGCAGCGTAGGGTTCGTGCCTCCGGAATACACTGAAATGCAGTAATTAGCAACGACGTGAGGAAACTCGTGATCGCATCCAGTGCAACGAAGGCCATTGGCCCAGACCCAGACAGACCAGTTTATTGAGGCCTTGAGACTTAAGAGGTTAGGACGAAGTTATCACAAGAAGTTACCAAGCCGGGGAGACTGTGTAGCAACGTCAGGGGGAGCTGGAGCACACCCATTCTAGCACGGCAAATAGAAGAGCTACTAAGCTTCTCGGAAGATGGTTATATCAACCGGGAATAAAATAATACCCCTAAAATCACAGGAATATTGATGCTTTCTGGGACAGGGATGTCTGTATATAGTGGGCCAGCCATAGGCTCAGGGCCCGCCGCAGAAATATCTCCCCAAAAAAAGAAAATCGGCCTCGGTAGGTTAGGTGAGGATGCCTAGGGACTGATGCTTCTGTTTAAGCAATACTACTGCATTTTTTTACAGAGTGATTATTGAGAGAACGGGCTTAATATCGTGCCAGTAAGGAAAACGGAAAAGAGAAAGGAGGAACTAAACTAGGCCTGTGTCACTCGCATGCTTACCGCGTAGGGTAAAAAATATATATTTTTATTTATTCAGTGGTCTACAGAAAGTAGACCACTGTGCAACAGAACCCAGTTATGAGCCAGATAGTGAGGTAATGGTGCTAGATTCCATACACAATATCAAAAGTAAAAATTACAATGAGCTGAAGCTCAACCCCCCCACGAGGTAAGACAGGAAGAGGATAAGATGGTGCAGGCAGGGTAACTGCGCTTCGTCACACCTCACACCACGCCTGGGAGGAGTGAGGTACCACGCCTGGGAGGAGTGAGGTACCACGCCTGGGTGGTGTGAGGTACCACGCCTGGGTGGAGTGAGGTACCACGCCTGGGTGGTGTGAGGTACCACGCCTGGGTGGTGTGAGGTACCACGCCTGGGAGGAGTGAGGTACCACGCCTGGGTGGTGTGAGGTACCACGCCTGGGTGGTGTGAGGTACCACGCCTGGGAGGAGTGAGGTACCACGCCTGGGTGGTGAGGTACCACGCCTGGGAGGAGTGAGGTACCACGCCTGGGAGGAGTGAGGTACCACGCCTGGGAGGAGTGAGGTACCACGCCTGGGAGGAGTGAGGTACCACGCCTCGTGTACTGGTCAGTGTCTGAGGGTCAGACCAGCCAGCCTCCAACACACACACACACTCAGTACTTCCTAACACAGGAAAAACACCAACCATCACCCAACATAATACTTTCTAACATAAGGAAAAACAGTTATCAGGTTTTCGTGGGGAAACGAAATGAGACGCAAACAATGGCTATAGCATCATTGGGTGTTCCAGATGGTTAGAGTTCCACACTTACACCATTCCGTGTTCCATAGCACTTCATATTGAAAATAGAGCGCCTAGAGTGTCAGACAATCGTACTGTTCCTCGCTCCAGACCCCGGCGCTTAAGGGCCATTGTGCTTCCAGGCCCCTGAGCTCCAGGGCCACCGACGAACTCAACTGGAGTCTGGAAGGCGGCAGTAATCAGCTGGAACAGGTCCCGAATGTTTCGTGGGGGAACTTAACTGCTCCCAGAGGCTGTCAGGGGAGGGGAGGGGGAGGGGGGAGAGTCGTCAAGGTTCCTATTGTAAGAGAGAGAGAGAGAGTTAAGCGAGGAGAGAGAGAGGCGGAGAGTGGTAGAGAGGAGAGGGAAAGAGGACGGGACTGGAGAAATGGAATTATAGATAAGCGGATCAAAAGCAGCAAGGGTAAAGTGGAGGAAGGAAGGGAAGGGAATTATCAGGGGAACTGATAAGTCCCTTCCCTTTCAGGAGATTATATATATATATATATATATATATATATATATATATATATATATATATATATATATATATATATATATATATATATATATATCACTTGGAAGGAGTCGGGAAAAGGATTTGGGATGGGACGGGGGGAAGGAATGGTGGAACACTGGGAAAACACGTCCGCAGTAAGAAAAGCTAACCGACGTCATTGAACTCAAGACGGACTTGATCTGCTGGTGACATTAATTACTACTCCCTGAGTCGCGGAGCCTGTCGCAACACTTCTCACGACGGTACAACATAAGGCTCTCCACTTCGTCTGGTTCACACTTTCTGCCAGATTTATCCAGGCAAAAGAATACCGTCAGAGTGTTTTCATGCTGCTAGCATCAGGGAGGTGTTGTGTTCCAACCAGTTCTGTCGTCAATTTTGGCGAAACTTCTCTATTTTTCTTTACTTGAGAAGGAAAAGGAAAATTTAACTCTACAAAGTTCCTTTTTCAATTTTTATTAAGGCCTGGCGCTAAGTGATGTGTCTGGCCTTAACATTATCAAATGTAGAGTTCGAATGTTTAGAAGTGATTGACTGATTGATGAAGATTAAACCATCCAAGAAGTGGCACGGACATGAATAGGCATGTGCTGTTGTATATATAGCCGAGGATGAGGTGACGATGAATCACCTCATTTATTGGGCCAATCGGTACATTGAAACTTACCAATCTCCTGTGTTTCCACGAGGGCAGTATATTGTATGTTGCTTCGTGTTCTCGAAGATGGCACTGTGTAAATTTGCTATTAGTTGACTGTTGATAGTCTATTAGTTGACTGTTGATAGTCTATTAGTTGACTGTTGATAGTCTATTAGTTGACTGTTGACAGTTGGCGTAGTTTACCTGATGTATAATGCCTCGCCAACGACAAGTCTTCTATTGCATTTGTCGATTATTTTGGTGCTGTTTTGTCAGGAAATCTCTGTTGATGATCTGCTGGTGTGTAGAGACTACCAGGCAGACATAGAGGTAATTTGACTGTATAAATTAGACTATTGCACTTAACAATGTTTATAGTAGGTTCCTTCATAAGGGAAGGAACATTTGTGCATTCTTGGGCACCTTGAAAAGGACGTAGTTGTCTTGCCTATATATTGAGATCGTTAGGGCTGACAAGTGGGCATGTGAAGGTACAGATGACATTTGTCTCAAGGGGAATTGTCTGGTGTCAGGAGTCTTTCATGTGTAAGTTGGCAGTCTTCTTGCTCTTACAGTATATTAGAGTACGTGGTATAACATATTATGGCATATTATAATATATATAGGTCACGGGTCACCCAGAGGTCACCACCTACGTCACGGGTCACCCAGAGGTCACCACCTACGTCACGGGTCACCCAGAGGTCACCACCTACGTCACGGGTCACCTAGAGGTCACCACCTACGTCACGGGTCACCCAGAGGTCACCACCTACGTCACGGATCACCCAGAGGTCACCACCTACGTCACGGGTCACCTAGAGGTCACCACCTACGTCACGGGTCACCCAGAGGTCACCACCTACGTCACGGGTCACCCAGAGGTCACCACCTACGTCACGGATCACCCAGAGGTCACCACCTACGTCACGGGTCACCCAGGGGTCACCACCTACGTCACGGGTCACCCAGGGGTCACACCTACGTCACGGGTCACCCAGAGGTCACCACCTACGTCACGGGTCACCCAGGGGTCACCACCTACGTCACGGGTCACCCAGAGGTCACCACCTACGTCACGGGTCACCTAGAGGTCACCACCTTCGTCACGGGTCACCTAGAGGTCACCACCTACGTCACGGGTCACCCAGAGGTCACACCTCCGTCACGGGTCACCCAGAGGTCACCACCTACGTCACGGGTCACCTAGAGGTCACCACCTACGTCACGGGTCACCCAGAGGTCACCACCTACGTCACGGATCACCCAGAGGTCACCACCTACGTCACGGGTCACCTAGAGGTCACCACCTACGTCACGGGTCACCCAGAGGTCACCACCTACGTCACGGGTCACCCAGAGGTCACCACCTCCGTCACGGGTCACCCAGAGGTCACCACCTACGTCACGGGTCACCCAGAGGTCACCACCTACGTCACGGGTCACCCAGAGGTCACCACCTCCGTCACGGGTCACCCAGAGGTCACCACCTACGTCACGGGTCACCTAGAGGTCACCACCTCCGTCACGGGTCACCTAGAGGTCACCACCTCCGTCACGGGTCACCCAGAGGTCACACCTACGTCACGGGTCACCCAGAGGTCACACCTACGTCACGGGTCACCTAGAGGTCACCACCTACGTCACGGGTCACCCAGGGGTCACCACCTACGTCACGGGTCACCTAGAGGTCACACCTACGTCACGGGTCACCTAGAGGTCACCACCTTCGTCACGGGTCACCCAGGGGTCACCACCTACGTCACGGGTCACCCAGAGGTCACCACCTACGTCACGGGTCACCCAGGGGTCACCACCTACGTCACGGGTCACCTAGAGGTCACACCTACGTCACGGGTCACCTAGAGGTCACCACCTTCGTCACGGGTCACCCAGGGGTCACCACCTACGTCACGGGTCACCCAGAGGTCACCACCTACGTCACGGGTCACCCAGGGGTCACCACCTACGTCACGGGTCACCCAGAGGTCACCACCTACGTCACGGGTCACCTAGAGGTCACCACCTCCGTCACGGGTCACCTAGAGGTCACCACCTACGTCACGGGTCACCTAGAGGTCACCACCTACGTCACGGGTCACCTAGAGGTCACCACCTCCGTCACGGGTCACCCAGAGGTCACCACCTACGTCACGGGTCACCCAGAGGTCACCACCTACGTCACGGGTCACCCAGAGGTCACCACCTACGTCACGGGTCACCCAGAGGTCACCACCTACGTCACGGGTCAGCCAGAGGTCACCACCTACGTCACGGGTCACCCAGGGTCACCACCTACGTCACGGGTCACCCAGGGGTCACCACCTACGTCACGGGTCACCCAGAGGTCACCACCTACGTCACGGGTCACCCAGGGGTCACCACCTACGTCACGGGTCACCCAGAGGTCACCACCTACGTCACGGGTCACCTAGAGGTCACCACCTTCGTCACGGGTCACCTAGAGGTCACCACCTACGTCACGGGTCACCCAGAGGTCACACCTACGTCACGGGTCACCCAGAGGTCACCACCTACGTCACGGGTCACCTAGAGGTCACCACCTACGTCACGGGTCACCCAGAGGTCACCACCTACGTCACGGGTCACCCAAAGGTCACCACCTACGTCACGGGTCACCTAGAGGTCACCACCTACGTCACGGGTCACCCAGGGGTCACCACCTACGTCACGGGTCACCCAGGGGTCACCACCTACGTCACGGGTCACCTAGAGGTCACCACCTACGTCACGGGTCACCCAGAGGTCACCACCTACGTCACGGGTCACCCAGAGGTCACCACCTCCGTCACGGGTCACCCAGAGGTCACCACCTACGTCACGGGTCACCCAGAGGTCACCACCTCCGTCACGGGTCACCTAGAGGTCACCACCTCCGTCACGGGTCACCCAGAGGTCACACCTACGTCACGGGTCACCCAGAGGTCACACCTACGTCACGAGTCACCTAGAGGTCACCACCTACGTCACGGGTCACCCAGGGGTCACCACCTACGTCACGGGTCACCTAGAGGTCACACCTACGTCACGGGTCACCTAGAGGTCACCACCTACGTCACGGGTCACCCAGGGGTCACCACCTACGTCACGGGTCACCCAGAGGTCACCACCTACGTCACGGGTCACCCAGAGGTCACCACCTACGTCACGGGTCACCTAGAGGTCACCACCTACGTCACGGGTCACCTAGAGGTCACCACCTTCGTCACGGGTCACCCAGGGGTCACCACCTACGTCACGGGTCACCCAGAGGTCACCACCTACGTCACGGGTCACCCAGGGGTCACCACCTACGTCACGGGTTACCCAGAGGTCACCACCTACGTCACGGGTCACCTAGAGGTCACCACCTACGTCACGGGTCACCTAGAGGTCACCACCTACGTCACGGGTCACCTAGAGGTCACCACCTACGTCACGGTCACCCAGAGGTCACCACCTTCGTCACGGGGGTCACCACCTCCGTCACGGGTCACCTAGAGGTCACCACCTTCGTCACGGGTCACCCAGGTCACACCTACGTCACGGGTCACCTAGAGGTCACCACCTACGTCACGGGTCACCTAGAGGTCACCACCTACGTCACGGGTCACCTAGAGGTCACCACCTACGTCACGGGTCACCTAGAGGTCACCACCTCCGTCACGGGTCACCCGGCCAGAGGTCACCACCTCCGTCACGGAGCTAACAAGGAGGAGGCAGTACGTCAAGGCGCCAGTTAAGGAGGACAGAGCGAAGCTATTGAAGTGTTTTATTGGCGATTTGTCGTATGTGAACGAGACTATGTGGACCTGTGATTGGCTGAGCACTTGCTGGTGGACCTGTGATTGGCTGAGCACTTGCTGGTGGACCTGTGATTGGCTGAGCACTTGCTGGTGGACCTGTGATTGGCTGAGCACTTGCTGGTGGACCTGTGATTGGCTGAGCACTTGCTGGTGGACCTGTGAGTTGGCTGACACTTGCTGGTGGACCTGTGATTGTCACAGCACTTGCTGGTGGACTTGTGATTGGCTGAGCACTTGCTGGTGGACCTGTGATTGGCTGAAACTTGCTGGTACCACCTGTGATTGGCTGAGCACTTGAGTATGCACCTGTGCATTGTCTCAACACTTGTCAAGGTGGACCTGTGATTGGCTGAGCACTTGCTGGTGGACCTGTGATTGGCTGAGCACTTGCTGGTGGGCCGTGATTGGCTGAACACTTCCTGGTGGACCTGTGATTGGCTGAACATTATAAAAATATCTCCAGGTTAAGTTGCGTGAAGTTGTTAAGTTCAAAAGTTTAAGCTCGATCCTGCAGGCACAAATAGGTGAGTACATTTACATGAGTGCCCACACAGCCACAGAGATATTACAAACACACACACACACACACACACACACACAAACACACACATTACACACACACACACACACACACACCACACACAGTTTCAAGTGTACACACACAGAGCCCACACACACACACTGTACACACACACACACACACACACACACACAGCCACACACAACACACACACACACACACACACACACACACACACACACACACGTATTATTTCACTTTTATTATCCTAATTTAGTAAGAACATCAAAAACAAAGGGAACATGGAATAACAGGTTGTTAATGGAACAACTCCATTAACACAACAAATAAAAATATTTACCAAAATAACCACACTGATAACTTTAAAAAAACAAAGACCAATAAAAATTCCTACATAAAGACCAATAAGCAAAACACGAAGACTAATTCAGGTAATTTTATATTATGACTTCCAAAGACGGCCCGAAGAAGGGTTGAGAGGAGAGGTTTACTGCGGGGTGTCCTGGGGAAAGTGGACGCTCTCTGCTGCTGTAGGCACCTAAGGAGGTGTTTTCTCATGGACTTGACGTCATATTTTGCCTGGTGTGGGTTCCTTCCTCTTCGACCTCTGCCTGGCCCAGGCAGAGGGCGAAGAGCCCGCAACTGGTGTTGTCCTTCTGTTGGTGAACTTTGACGTATGTGATTGTTAATGGTTGGTCGCACTGTGTTCCTGTCTGGATAATGCTTCATTAAAATATCATATCCGGTATAAGAATATTGAATGAGGTTGGAAATAATTTTCACTATGTAAAAGAATATAGGTGGGGTACCCGGTGTTGGCCATGAGTCTCTGTCTATCTCCCGTCTGTCCGTCTCCCTGTCCCCTGCATCCCTCACTTGTCCCCGTCCACTGCTGCCCTCCCGTCTCCCCCTTCTGTTCTTCCCCAAGTCCCTCCCGCCCAACCACTAGGGCTGGACGTACCCCAGACCATTTTACCTAGAATTTTGGGTGAGGTTGGCCCTCAGCGCCTGTCCTCCAACTTTGGACAGACAACAAGTCAAACAATCAGACAGTCTCTCTTATAGACGGGTGGTAGTGAACGTGACAGTCTGAGGACGAGTGTCATTTGTAGTGAAGAGTGATACAGTGATGATGCTGGCCTGTAGTGAAGAGTGATACAGTGATGATAAGGGCCTGTAGTGAAGAGTGATACAGTGATGATACTGGCCTGTAGTGAAGAGTGATACAGTGATGATACTGGCCTGTAGTGAAGAGTGATACAGTGATGATACTGGCCTGTAGTGAAGAGTGATACAGTGATGATACTGGCCTGTAGTGAAGAGTGATACAGTGATGATACTGGCCTGTAGTGAAGAGTGATACAGTGATGATACTGGCCTGTAGTGAAGAGTGATACAGTGATGATAAGGGCCTGTAGTGAAGAGTGATACAGTGATGATACTGGCCTGTAGTGAAGAGTGATACAGTGATGATAAGGGCCTGTAGTGAAGAGTGATACAGTGATGATACTGGCCTGTAGTGAAGAGTGATACAGTGATGATAAGGGCCTGTAGTGAAGAGTGATACAGTGATGATACTGGCCTGTAGTGAAGAGTGATACAGTGATGATAAGGGCCTGTAGTGAAGAGTGATACAGTGATGATACTGGCCTGTAGTGAAGAGTGATACAGTGATGATAAGGGCCTGTAGTGAAGAGTGATACAGTGATGATACTGGCCTGTAGTGAAGAGTGATACAGTGATGATACTGGCCTGTAGTGAAGAGTGATACAGTGATGATACTGGCCTGTAGTGAAGAGTGATACAGTGATGATACTGGCCTGTAGTGAAGAGTGATACAGTGATGATAAGGGCCTGTAGTGAAGAGTGATACAGTGATGATGCTGGCCTGTAGTGAAGAGAGTGATACAGTGATGATGATGATGCTGGCCTGTAGTGAAGAGTGATACAGTGATGATACTGGCCTGTAGTGAAGAGTGATACAGTGATGATACTAGCCTGTAGTGAAGAGTGATACAGTGATGATGCTGCCTTGTTGTCTTCACAACTATAACCATCCTCACTACACACTGTTTTCCTCACTGTAACCATCTTCACTATACGGTCTTCCTCCCTGTAACCTTTTTAAACTTCTCATAACCATCATCGCTGAAACCATCTACACTCCACCCGGTCATCCTTGTGACTGTCACCATCATCACTACCCGGGCACCGCCGGGTCCCTTGTCGACAAACTGTTTTCTACTTCCTCACCTTCCTTCCCAACCACTTGGGCTGGACGGTAGAGCGACGGCCTCGCTTCATGCAGGATGAAGCCCTACCCTTCACTATCTTCCTTACCCTTCACTATCTTCCCTACCCGTCACCATCTTCCCTACCCTTCACCATCTTCCTTACCCTTCACCATCTTCCCTACCCGTCACCATCTTCCCTACCCTTCACCATCTTCCTTACCCTTCACCATCTTCCCTACCCGTCACCATCTTCCCTACCCTTCACCATCTTCCCTACCCTTCACCATCTTCCCTACCTTTCACCACCTTCCTTACCCTTCACCATCTTCCTTACCCTTCCCCATCTTCCCTACCCTTCACCATCTTCCCTACCCTTCACCATCTTCCTTACCCTTCACCATCTTCCCTACCCTTCACCATCTTCCCTACCCTTCACCATCTTCCCTACCCTTCACTATCTTCCCTACCCTTCACCATCTTCCCTACCCTTCACCACCTTCCCTACCCTTCACCATCTTCCCTATCCTTCACCATCTTCCCTACCCTTCACCACCTTCCCTACCCTTCACCATCTTCCCTACCCTTCACCACCTTCCCTACCCTTCACCATCTTCCCTACCCTTCACCACCTTCCCTACCCTTCACCATCTTCCCTACCCTTCACCACCTTCCCTACCCTTCACCACCTTCCCTACCCTTCACCACCTTCCCTACCCTTCACCACCTTCCCTACCCTTCACCACCTTCCCTACCCTTCACCACCTTCCCTACCCTTCACCACCTTCCCTACCCTTCACCACCTTCCCTACCCTTCACCACCTTCCCTACCCTTCACCACCTTCCCTACCCTTCACCACCTTCCCTACCCTTCACCACCTTCCCTACCCTTCACCACCTTCCCTACCCTTCACCACCTTCCCTACCCTTCACCACCTTCCCTACCCTTCACCATCTTCCCTACCCTTCACCACCTTCCCTACCCTTCACCACCTTCCCTACCCTTCACCACCTTCCCTACCCTTCACCACCTTCCCTACCCTTCACCACCTTCCCTACCCTTCACCACCTTCCCTACCCTTCACCACCTTCCCTACCCTTCACCACCTTCCCTACCCTTCACCACCTTCCCTACCCTTCACCACCTTCCCTACCCTTCACCACCTTCCCTACCCTTCACCACCTTCCCTACCCTTCACCACCCTTCCCTACCCTTCACCACCTTCCCTACCCTTCACCACCTTCCCTACCCTTCACCACCTTCCCTACCCTTCACCCCCTTCCCTACCCTTCACCACCTTCCCTACCCTTCACCACCTTCCCTACCCTTCACCACCTTCCCTACCCTTCACCACCTTCCCTACCCTTCACCACCTTCCCTACCCTTCACCATCTTCCCTACCCTTCACCATCTTCCCTACCCTTCACCACCTTCCCTACCCTTCACCACCTTCCCTACCCTTCACCACCTTCCCTACCCTTCACCACCTTCCCTACCCTTCACCACCTTCCCTACCCTTCACCACCTTCCCTACCCTTCACCACCTTCCCTACCCTTCACCACCTTCCCTACCCTTCACCACCTTCCCTACCCTTCACCACCTTCCCTACCCTTCACCACCTTCCCTACCCTTCACCACCTTCCCTACCCTTCACCATCTTCCCTACCCTTCACCACCTTCCCTACCCTTCACCACCTTCCCTACCCTTCACCACCTTCCCTACCCTTCACCACCTTCCCTACCCTTCACCACCTTCCCTACCCTTCACCACCTTCCCTACCCTTCACCATCTTCCCTACCCTTCACCACCTTCCCTACCCTTCACCACCTTCCCTACCCTTCACCACCTTCCCTACCCTTCACCACCTTCCCTACCCTTCACCATCTTCCCTACCCTTCACCACCTTCCCTACCCTTCACC